CATAAATGTAAGATGAGTATCTTGTAGACAACAAAAAGATGAATTTTGGGGCTTGGAGAGATGGCTCAGTCAGATAAGAGCACTGACTGCTCTTGCAGAGGACCCAGGTTTGATTCCCAGCACCCACATGACGGCGAACTGTCCTTAACTCCAGTTCCAGGGAAATCCGAAGCCCTCTTCTGACCTCTACGGCATTGCACGACACAGGTGCACTCACATACATGCAGGCAATACACTCATACACATAAAATAATAAATAAAAATTTTAAAAAAGATGAATTTTGTTTCTTAATCCATTCAACTTGACTGTGTCTTTTGACTGGGGGGCTGAGGTCATTGATATTTAAAGATACTCTTGAAAGGGGTGCATTGCTTACTGTCATTTTATTTTCTTGGTTCTATTCTGTGTTTTTGTAACTATACCTTCATTTTTTATTTCTGCTGGTGTGGCTTTCCCCTGTCATTTCAAATTGACTTATTGAGTTTTTCAATTCTGTCTTCATTTAGGCTTCTGTAGCCTCTTATGTTTGGTCATTTCTTTCTTCAGTTTTTTTTTTTTTGTATTGCTTTGAATATTTTCTGTAGGGATGGTTTGGTGGACATGAATTCTTTTAGCTTATTTGTATCATGGAAGATTTTTCTTTCTCTTTTGATAGACAGTTTTTCTGTGTAAGGTATTCTGGGTTACCATCTATAGTTATTTAGAACTTGAAATACTTTGCTCCAGGCTCTTCTGACTTTTTTGTACTTTGCATTGAAAAGTCAGCTGTAATTCTGATGGGGTTTCCTTTATTTTCAAATTGTTATTTTTATCTTGAAGCTTTCATTATTCTTTCTTTGTTCTGTACATTTAGTGTTTTTTCCATGATATGCCATTGGGAGTTTATGTTCTGGTCCTTTCTATTTGGTGTTCCTTGTGCTTCTTGTATCTGTATGGGAATGTCTTTCCTTAATTTAGGGAAGCTTTCTTCTATAATCCTGCTGGAGATCTAACCAGTGACATTTGTCTTCTCCTTCCTCTATGATTATAATGCATAGATTTGGTGTTTTCATGGTATCCCACATTTCCTGCATATTCCATTCCTGTATATTTAAAAACTTTTCATATTCTTTACTAGAATGGTCCAGTTCTCCAACTTTCTCCAGTCTTGACATTCTGTTTTCCATTTGATTCATTCTGCTGGTGTAGCTTTCTCCTGTCATTTCAAATTGGCCTATTAAGTTTCTCAATTTCATCTTCATTTAAGCTTGAGTTTTCTTCAATATTTCTATCTCCTTCATGATTTCACTTTTCAAATCCTGAATTATCTTTGTCATTTCATTCAACCATATATTTGTATTTTCTTGAGCTTCAGTGAGTTTATTCCTATTCTCTTTGAGTTGTTTGTGTGTTATTTAAAATTCTTGAATTCTTCGATCATGCTTATGCTTGTTCTTTTAAGTTCTGTATCCTGGGTTGATCTGGGTAATTTCCATTGTAGAACACTTCTATAGGACTGGTGGTATTTGGTGGGAGCATATTATCTTGGTTTTTCATGTTGTGTTTTTGCATTCTGACCTGGGCGTATGGACTTCTTTTGGTGGTGGTGGTTATATGTGTGATATGAAATTCTAGCCTGCTTTTGTTGGATGAAGTTTGGTTTAGTTTTTATTAGCTTGTCTGCTTTCTGATCAGTTACAAATAGTTGGTCTGTGCTTCCGGTTCAAAATTTTTTTCAAAATTGGAGGGACAGGATGGTTCCAGGAAGGCTAGCATGGAGCTCTTTGCAGCAAGTCCTGAAGCAAGAAGATGGGACAGGGTAGGCGGGTTCTGACCAGCTAAGCAGGGTAGATGTGAGTCCTGGAGCAGAGTAAATTGGCCTAGTCCCCAAACAGGAGATGGCTTGATGCTCAGAATTTCAATAGGTAACAACGTAGAGCAAAGTTGAAAATATTTCTTTCATATTACATTAAAAGCTTTATTGTAGAATTTGAGAAAATGTAATAATTATTTTGAAAATAATTCTATGATCATGTAAGAAGTATATCCCAGCTATCAGAAATCATGTTTACATTTGGCATTGAGTTCTAGGCCCCCTAGTCTATTTATACAGCTATCACCAGAAGCGGTGTGTCTAGAGATGTCTTCTTGGCCCTTGAGCTTGGACAGCTGTGGCTCAGGTCCTAACTTCACCACTTAGGAGCTTCATCTGCTTTGTTATTCATGTGGGTTTGCAATAGGGAATTCCACAAATTGGGTATGTGCTAACTGCTAGATACTGGTGTGTTCACTGAACAGATGGTGATGGACAAGGCTGTTTCTATCCACTTAGAATTTACAGTTCAAGGTGAAAGGCAGACAGACAAGCCTTTCATTACCTGTGTTATAAATGCTACTAACCAAGTATTGAAGAAGGGATTAGCTTAACCCTGACTTACAGTGGGAGCAGTGGGCTAGGGCTTATAGGGCTTGTTAGAGAAGGGATTAAGGTGGAGAAGTTGAGGCTGGAGAGGGAGGCCAGAGCTACAGTGAATAGTTTGTAAATCATGTTGTGGAGTTTGAACCTTATATATCCTGAAGGCAGGGGACATCATGGAAGAATTTAGGAGATGCAGATACACAAAAATCAAATCAACGATTTATAAAAAAATCACACAATCGCTGCTTCATAAGACCTGCAATTTAGCTCATAAGATTCAACATTTGCAGACATCAGTTTTAAAAATCTAAAATAGAAACAATTGTAAAGCTTAGCTGGGCTAATTGATTTGAAGTTCATTCTAGGGTGCCTGAAAAAAGTGTTACTTTCTTTTTTAAAAAATTATTTATTTTTATTTTATGTGTATGAGTGTGTTGTCTGCATGTATGTAAGTGCACCTGTATTGTGCAATGTCTACATAGGTCAGAAGAAGGTGTTCCCCTGGAACTGGAGTTAGGATGGTTGTTAGCTGCCATGTGGGTGCTGGGAACTGAACCCAAGTCCTCTGCAAGAGCAACCAGTGTTCTTAACTGTTGAGGCATCTCTTCTTATTTAAGAAAGCAGTGGAAGGTTTGAGGCTCTAGCTCAGTGGTAGAGGATGTGCCTGACATGCAAAGGAACGTAGGTTCAATCTCCAGCACTGGACAAAATAAAAGGTGAACTGAGACGCGATGGCACATGCTGCTCAAGAGGTAGAGACAGGAAGATTGCAGGAAGGTCAGCCTGGGCTACATAGCAAGACCAGGCATGAAGAGCAAACCAAAGCAAAAACAATCATGGAGCCAAATAATGGGTGGAAACATGTTTTTCCTCACTGAGTGACTTGCCTGCTCTGATGAATCCTTCGGAATCACCTGAACCACTCCCTCACTGTCACCATGTCTCTGAATTCTATGCAAAACTATCTTTTCTCTCAAGTCTATTACAGGGTGAGTCATCCACCTGGAGCCTTGTTCACTGGATAACACTTCAACCTGAGGTTTTAGTTGACTAACAACCTTGTGGGAAAAATGATAATTGGGTCTGTAGAGCAGTTGGAATTCCCTTTCAGGTATCTGCCATATCTTTGCCTGTTCCATCCAGTGCTGCTCAATGTACTTCCCCTCCCTGTCTCCCCTCCCCTCCTTTCCCTCTCCCTTCCTTTTCTTTCTCTTCTTTCAAGGCAGGCTCTTGCTATGTAGTCCATGCTTGCATCTGACTCACAATCCACCTGCCTCAGCCCCATGAGTACTGGGATTACAGGTATGCATGGCATGCCTGGCTCCAACCTTGTAACTTCTTACTGTGCATCCGATTCCCCACCAGGTGTGCCCAACATGATGGCCACGTGATCTGTGTACTGACCCACCTCTTTCATGGATTCTTGCTACCATCTATGTGTAACCCCCAAGTCACTCTCAAGGCTCTTCCTTGGACATATACAGAAAGGTGCAAAGCCCAGTCAGATACTGCTCTCCACTGAGGTTGACCTGGAGCACTACATTCCTGCTCTAGCCCATGTTGGAAACAAGGAGCCATTTGGGACCAAAGTGGAGCCACATTTTTCACATTTTTGTGATTTTTGCTGGTTATTTCACTGCTTAAAATGTCCCCAGGCATATTAATGAAGAATCGCCCATGATTCTAAAGCACAAGGAGGCTTTGCTGTACCCTTCAGGGAAAATATGTGCGTTTGACAAGTTCTATACATGAATTATAGTGCTCTTTACCACAAGGTCAATGTTAATGAATTAAAAATATGTATGAATGGCCCAGTAAGATCGTTCAGCAGGTAAAGGTGCTTGCTTCTAAGTCTAATGAGTGGAGTTAGATACCCAGGACCCACATGGTGGAAGAAGAGAACTGACTCCCACAAATTGTCCTCTGATCCACTCTTGTGCTATGGCAAGCATGCCCCCCCTAATAAATAAACAAGTGTAATTTTTTGTTATTGTTTGTGTTTTGTTGTTGTTGTTGTCTTTTTTAAACAGGGTCTTCCTGTAGCCCCAGCTGTCCTGGAACTCACTGTGTAGACCAGGCTGGCCTTGAACTCACAGAGATCCACCTGCCTCTGCCTCCCGAGTGCTGGAATTAGAGGCGTGTGCCACCACGCCCCGCAAACAAGTGTAATTTTAAAAATTTTGAAAACATATATATGAAATAAGGCTGTCTTTAAACAGAAACATATACAATAATGTTGCATATTGATCATTTTGCAAAAATATTGTAGCCAGAGGCTTATAAGAACCCAACCCTATGTTTCTCCAAAGAGTGGTTCAGCATTGACTAGTTCAGTGTTTGTAGTGACTTTATACAGGCTGCAAATACCAAAAATTAACTATTTTATTAACATCTCAGTAACTCCCATGATAAATATTCAGACTAAACTTTGTGTATACATGTGTGTATATTCATCATTACATATATAAATATATACATTATACATACATAGAAGTTATAAGCTAAACTTATCTTGTATCTTAAAAGTACACCTAACAGCTTAATTACTAATTTTTGTCCTTTGTAAAATAGCCTAAAATAGCTTGTTTTATTTTTATCTAGGATGCTGGAGAAATGGTTCGTTCCTTTGTTGGTGGTTTGGAGCTAGTTGTCAATTTATTGAAATCAGATAACAAAGAAGTTTTGGCAAGTGTGTGTGCTGCTATTACCAATATAGCAAAAGACCAAGAAAACTTAGCTGTTATTACAGACCATGGAGTTGTCCCATTACTGTCCAAACTAGCCAATACAGTAAGTACCATCTTATTAAAAATGTGTGCTCTCAGTAAAAACAAAGGAATGTCAAGTCCAGAAATATGAATTCAAATTTCATATTTGTTGTTTATGAAGTATGAGATTTTCTTCATTTATTTAATTTCCCAGAGCCTAATAGACGTAAAGACATATTTCATACTGCAAAATGTTAATATGCAAGATCCTGATGCTGTATTTTGTTTGTTTCTTTGCTTGTTGCTGTCAGGAAAAGTTGTGGCAAATGTAAGTGCTGTTATGTAGGTGCTAGCGGTCATCTTCATACCGCCGTCATTGCTTTTAAGATAATTGTCCGTTCTAACCTCAGAAGTTGTGTTGCTCCTCCCCCGGCTAAGAAGCTTGGAACTGTGACATTCTCGAGCTAGAAGGCTTTGGCAGTACGATACTGTTTATCTAAAACTGTGCCAGCCAGAACAATGACTTCACCATGCCTGGAAGTATCTGAGCAGAGCTCACAGGACCACTTAGTAGCAGAGTGACAAAGTAGAAATTCAAACCCTGGAAGAATACTTGATCTAGGGGCCTCTAAGCTTCTAACAGCATCTGCTAGACTCAGCAGACATGTTCTCAGAGTCAAGAGAGCAGGAAAATGGAAAACCATTTCCTATTTAGCCATGTTATACCTATATGAGGTAATTCTTTGCAAAAGAAGTCTAGTTTGCATAAGATCCTAGAAAGGAAGCAGAATGTCACTGTGTTTGCTGCCCTGGCTTCTCTTGGAAATGAAGGTGGGGTTTGGGGGATTGGCAGCTAAAGCGCCTGTCCACAGTTTGGATCCCCAGCACCCACAAAAGTGTCAGATGGGTGTGGTGACCTGCCTACAATCCCAGTCCCTGGGAACTGGAGACAAGGGATTCCTAGAGCAAGCTGACTAGCCAGGGTACAGAATCACCAAGTTCTGAGTTCAAGTGAAAGACCCTGCCTCTGTATAGAATGTTGAACGTGATCAGATACCCAAAGTCAATCTCTGGCCTCAAGATGCATGTGTATGCCCACAAAGATGTGTACCTTATACATGCTAACCACTCATGTATAACACACACACACACACACACAGACACACACACACACACACACACACACACAAAGAAAAAAGGTAAGAAGTAAGTCTGGGGCGGGGGGAGAAGCCATTAACTCACTTATCTCAGATAAGGATTCCTTGAAGGATATCCAGTGCTCTCTAAGTATTTTATTAAGCAACTTGCTGATTTGTGAAGTTTTTATACATTTATTTGTGTGTGTGTGTGTGTGTGTGTGTGTGTGTGTGTGTCCCATGGTGTACACACAAAGGTCAGAGGACAAGTTTCAGGAGTCAGTTTTCTTTTTACCACGTGAGTTCTGGGATCAAACTCAGATCATCAGGCTCGGTGACAAGTACCCTAACCCACTGAGCCATCTCGCTGGCCCTGATTTGTTGCTGGTATGAGAAGACTTACTTAAAAGGCTGTCAAGCCTCTGGAGCAAATGACCAAATGAGACATCTGTCTCGTCTTTGATAACATGGGGTACATCCAGCTCACAGAAAAAAAAAAAACCCAGGAAGGCTGGGCATGCTGGCTTAATCCCAGCACTCTGAGAGGCAGAGGCAGGCAGACCTCTGTGAGTTCAAGGCCAACATGGTCTACAAAGCCAATTTCAGAGCTATAGAGTAAGACCTTGTCTTATCTTTTGAAAGTTAGAAAAACAAGAAAACTCAGAATTCTCCCACTGGTGACTCACCAAAATTCTAGCTCCTTCCAGGTCCTATGTAAGCAGCCAGCTAGTTCTTATGTCTGGACTCACTGGCGTCCCAGGGGATAAGTATGAAGTGCATGAACCTAGCCTCTCTGTCATCACAGCGCACACTCACGTCTTCCATTTGTGCAGAGTAACGATAAGTTGAGGCGCCACCTGGCAGAGGCTATTTCACGCTGCTGTATGTGGGGCAGAAACAGAGTGGCCTTCGGTGAGCACAAAGCAGTGGCTCCATTGGTGCGTTACCTGAAGTCCAACGACACCAACGTGCATCGAGCAACAGCCCAAGCCCTGTACCAACTCTCAGAAGACGCCGACAACTGCATCACTATGCACGAGAATGGTGCAGTGAAGGTATGCTACTTAAACTACTTCTGTGGCTTAGTCCAAGTTTTTAAATGCAGGCTGGAAAGAAGCATAGAGAACATGAAAGTTTTACTAAAAGGGAGACTGGGGAGATGGCTCAGTGGGTTAGGTGCTTGCTGCTCAAGTTGCATGAGGACCTGAATTCGGATTCACAGCGTACATATTAATATCAGATATGGCACAGTGGAGTGGAGACAAGAGGATCCTGGGGGCTCACTTGGCCAATTATGTAGCTGAAATGTTGACTTTGGGCCTCCCATGTATGTGTGTGCACACATACACAGGAGCATGCACCCATGCATGCACTCCCACCCCACCCCAAATTTTACCAAAAGGGATGCTGGATGTATGAAAGTGCCTGCTTGTCAGGTCACAGCTGCATCTGAGCACAGCATTATCATGATTTATATTAGAAAATATATGGAGATGAAATTTCCTGAAACTAAGTCTGTCCAGGTTCTTAGTAAAATAAGTAATCATTCCAGAATTTGAATTAGATTAAACAGAATGTACAGAATTTATTAGCATTCATAATTCTGTGTGATACAGTGTTTGCCTAGCACAGAAATAATAAATCACAGACATGCCCATAGGCATCAACTAAACAGCAAGAGAAGTGGATGAAACAGCTTTGGACTACGGTTGGACAGCTTTGACCTTCGCAGCAAAGGACTGATCCAACCACAGGTGTTTTGTTTGGATTCTGCATCAGATTTTACATGCCTTTAGCCAACATATGCTTAGCAGAAATTTTGCACACTGACTTGGATGTAGCTGTGTATTGGAAATCACCTAGAACACTCTGATGGCGATACATATGAAAGTGCTCAGAGCACTGGGTGTGGTGACACATGTTTGAACACAGCACTGAGGAAGCTACAGCAGGAGGATCATATTTTGGGGTTAGCCTAGGCTAAGAGAGGAGACCTTGTCTCAAAAAACAACCCCTCCCTCAAAAAACCAAAAAAGTGAAAATTAAAACATTAAAAACATCTCTTAGGGCCTATAGCTTGCCTATACCAGGAAAAATGGATTACACTATTTTCTATAGCCTGCTCCCTTGAACAATATAATTTCACTATTTGTTACATTAATTTGGAGCCTCTGACAACCAGATACATTTAAAGTTTGAAGTGTATGCCCAAAGTGGATATTTTAGAGAAGACTTAGAAGTCTACAGTCTCTAATCTAGATATGTCAATTATAAGACATCTCAAGAATAATGCTCTTAACACTCCAATTGGTAATTTCTAGTCAATTATTTTAATTTATCCTTCAAACTTACTGCAGTTAAAAGATGTGATGTTAATGTTTCTGAAATTAAATCCAATTTACATTTAAATGTGCCAATCTTTCCATTATAAATATGTTTTTTATGGCGCATAGTTAGACGTATGTGCTTCTTCAAGCAAAAAAAATCTGGCATAAAAAGCACCTTTTAAACTAAGTAACAATTTTTCAAAAGTAAATTATAAAAACTGTGTCAACATGTTAACTTGAAGTTGCTCTAGGTTGACATAAAAGCTGTCCCTTTTATATGCGTGCATTCAACACTTCAAAAAGAAGAGATGCCTAATTTAAAGTTATGTGTTCTGTAATTGAACAAAATGTGCACAGCCTCCACTGCTGTAAGTCCACGGGGTTTAAAAACCGAAGCTATAAAAAGTGGATAGCCTGGTAAAACGTCTGGTATGTAACTCAAAAGTTTTCAGATTTGGTAATGTTTATGTGTTATGATCTATTGACACAATGAAGGGCACAGAAGCAATTCTCGGTGGTTTCTTCTACTGCAAGGTAACAGGACTCTGAAATGATTTAAGCCTGTGTCCTGATGTCAGGAGTTGGCACTGTGTTCACACCTAGAGACAGCGACACCAAGAAGGAGAGGCTGTGTCAGGAAAGAGACGGCATAGACAGTGCTGGACTTGGGCACCAGAGCCTTTCTTGAGTCATCTTTATGATTGATGATTCATGGGGACATTTCTAGAAGTTCATAGATTTACATTGCTAACTACCTGTCATTTTTACTGAAGGATAACTAAAGAACAGGATTTGGGAGCAAGTTTATCCAAAATGGGGAGGGGAGTGGCTCAGCTGGTAAAGTGCTTGTCACCCAAGCATGAGGTCCTGGATGTGGATCCCCAGGATCCCTTTAAAAGCTTGAGTTTGGTAGCATGAGTCTGGCACTCCAGTACTGGGGAGACAGAGACAGGTGGATCCCTGGATCTCATTGGTCAGTCAGCCTAGCCGATTCAATAAGCTCTAGGTTCAGTGAGAGACCCGGTCTCAAAAAATAAGGTGGAGAGCAATCGAGGAAGATAATTGACATCAACCTTTGGCCTCTGCGTGCACATACATGCACATGAACCTGCATGTGCGTGTGCTCACACCCACAAGAACATGTACATACACCACACGCACCAAAAAAATAAACAAACACTTAAGTAAAATGACAGAAAGGCAAGCCTTGTCATGGAGGCTATCAGAAGAACATGCAGCTGAGTTCGTGTTGTTCTTTCCCACCCTGCACAGATAGCCAGACCTCATGAGGCCTTGGGAGAAGGATGTGGACTCCCTTCTCCACTTGTCTTTAAGGTGGTAAGAAATGTGGGTGTGGTTCCCTGGGTACTGGTAGAATAAACAGGATTTAGAGTTGCTTTGACATGGGCAATAAAGGAAAGCCTTGTGAAGAAGTGAATCCAGGGTCTGGAGAGACAGTTCAGTGGTTAAGAGCACTAGCTGATCTTGCAGAGGACCCAGTTCAGTTCCCAGCACCCACATGCTGGCTCACAACCATCTGTAACTCCAGCTCCAGGGAGATCCTATGTTCTCTTCTGGGTTCTGCAGGCGTGGCACACAAGTGTGCACTTATATTTATACAGGCAAAGTGCTCATACACATAAAATAAAAATAAAGAAATCATATATAATGAGATCCTGTCTTCAAAAAACAACAAAAATATAAAAATATAAAAATATTAAAAATTAAAAAGTGGGTCTGGAAAGATGTCTCAGCAGCGTACTGACTGCTCTTGCAGAGGACCTGCAAGAGCAGGTCACATGGTGACTAACAACTGTCTGTAACTCAGTTCCAGGGGATCCAACACCCTCTTCTGACTTCCACAGGCATTGCAGGACATGTGTGCACTTATACGTATACGAACAATACACTCATACACATAAAATAAAAATAATAAATAAATTTTTAAAAATTAAACATAAATAAGTATATGAATCCAGACTTCATGCTAATAAAGAAGATTCCACTTGACAAATAATGCATGACAGTGTTTGGCCAGTTACTGGTTCTGTTATTTGCATTGACCACACTATATTAAACACGTACTGCCAATGTTTCTGACTTTAAATGTACACACAGTTCATTTATTCTGGTAAGTTTCTGATCTTTTTCAGCCTTGATTTGGTTTTGTAGTGCGGGGTGTCCTGGTCATGCTGCGCACTAACCTACCTGCCTAGTACCTGTCTTGGTGCTTTTGCTCTTAGCTGCTGCTGCCCCAGTCCAGTCAGAGGCTGGCAGTGTTACTCCTCAGCCTGGAAACCATTCCTGCTGCAAATGTCAGTGAGCAAATGTTAACAACCTCAGTCACAGTCACCTGAGTTATTCTGTCATCCTATTCAAATGTCATTTGTTTTGGGGTCAGTTCCTGAGTCCTACAATCTCCTGAGCTGCAATGGCTGGTGTTGTGTACTGAATCTACTTCACATTGACCAATGTATCCGTGAGAAACTGTAATAAGAGTTCTCTTGTTAATGCGTTCAGTTTGAATGTTGAGTGAAAAGCTACTCTGACTAACAGGTATACATTGCCAAGCATGGTGGCACATGCTTGCAATTCCAGCTCTGAGGAAGTTGAGGAAGAAAAATGAGGTTTTGAAGCAAGCCTGGGCTACCAAATGAGACTCCATCTCAAAAAGTCCAAAACCAAACAAAAACAGAAATGTCGTGTGAGCCATAATAGTTATTTTCTAGGAGTGACAGTTTAAGAAAAGATAAAAGAAGTATGTGAAGTTGGTTTTAGTAATGAATGGATATTTTGTTTAGCCCAGTTTCTTCAGAGTATTTTTTTTTTATCTTTTTGAGACAGGGTCTCCCTGTAGCCACACAGTATAGAGCAGCCTGGAGAGTGTTTTCTTCTTCATTTGGGGCATGTAAACTATGAGGAAGAGCTATAAAAGTAAAGAAATTTGAGAAGTGAAGAGGTTCACCAAGAGTTCTAGAACCAAAGAAAGAGTGCATTTCCAATGGTTTTGAGTTTAAACACAGCCAAGAAGTCAATAAGAGCTTCCTAATTCACTTAGGATAAAAAATAACCCCATGTCAGAGGCGCCCCCTCCCCATAAGAACCTCTCTTAAATGGACTGCTCTAAATACAGTGTGATGCGAATAATTCCATCAGATCCTCTGTGATTTTACACAGACCTGCTCAGAAGTTTCAGCCCCAGATGCTACAGATGTGGATGCAGAGGTGGCCGTTGGAAACTAGGTTGAAATATGAAAGTGAGAGAGAGATATCAGAGTTGTGTGCTAATTAGGACAATCTCGTCATGAGAGTAACATGAGTAGGAGAAGAAGTTAGGGGAAAAATGTGCAACCTGAGCCCTTCCCTCAAGCAGAAAAAGTGATCAAGAGAGGCTTGTGCATCTATGGAAGGGACTGAGCCTTCCCCATGGCGACATCGGTTTGTTTTCCCAAATGTCTATACCAGGCAAGCAAAAGCCACATGATGGTTGTAACTTTTGGAAAGGCAGGAAATTGAAAAAATTGCAGAAAATACAATCAGAACTAGGCAGCACATTGGCAGAGGGCGTGGAGAGTGGTTCAGCTGGGACAGAGCCGAAAGGCTGCCTTGGCGACCTCCTCCAGCCTGATCACGTGGCAGCTGGAGCCAGAGAGGAATCCAGAATCTGCTCCATGGTTTTTGAAGCCTGGCGTGAGGAGAGAAAAGTAACACTGGTGTTGGGCGAATGG